CGAGAAGCAGTCTCATCTCTACTAGTAAAGCGAGCCATAGAGGTCGTGGATCAAGTCAACATCACGCCAGGTTTCTACTCCCCAGTTTTCCTAGTGCCCAAGAAAAACTCCAAAGAAAAGTTCCGACTCATCTACAATATGAGCACGTACAACAGAGAATATCTGAGCAGACCTCCCAAGTTCCGCATGATACATCTACCTCAACTAATCCACCTCGTCCGTCCGATGGACTACATGGCCAGCATAGATCTACAGGGGCCTACCTGCATATTCCTGTACATCCAGACTCGAGGAAGTACCTCAGGTTTACACTGGACGGGCTACATTACCAATGGAAGGTCCTGCCATTTGGAATATCATCGGCCCCTTGGTTGTTTACAAGGGTGACGAAACCCATAGTCATATATCTACATCATCGAGGTCTACGCAGTGCCTTTTACCTCGACGACGGGATTCAAGTACATCAAGATCCCAAGCATCTCAGACTACAGTTAAACTTTACCATCAAACTGCTTACACAGCTGGGGTGGTTAGTGAATCTACTCAAGTCGGACCTAGAACCTACGCAGGACCTGCAGTTCCTAGGCATCAGATTTCTCACGTCGTACCAGAACCGATGGCTCAAGATTCAACAGACAATCCCACAAGCCCTACTCTCTCCGTGGCCACTACGACAGTGGCAGAGTCTGTTGGGTCTCCTCACGTCTGCACAAGACATGACAGCCAGAGGGAGATTACAGCTACGCCCGTTACAGGTCCTCATCAATGCTCATCTCGACGACACAGACCCCTTCGGTCTCCCGGACTAGCTCAGACCTCATCTACTATGGTGGACCCAGAGAGCGAATGTCTGCGAAGGCATCTATCTAGCAGAGCCAGAGTGCAAGACTCATCTGTATGTGGACGCGTCACTCCAAGGTTGGGGAACACATCTTGACGATGTGGCAGCCGGGAAATGGACCAAGGAGGAGGAAAGTCTGCACATCAACATGCTGGAAATGAAAGCAGTCGTCAATGCCATACTCCATTGGAGCAACATTCTACAGAATGCGCATCTCATGGTACACACGGACAACTCCACAGTGGCGTTCTACATAAACAAGCAAGGATCAACACGATCATTGAACATGCTGGACCTCTGCTTTCAACTGTTCGACCTAATCGACGATCTGAACATCCACATAAGAGCATGCCACATTCCAGGAGCCAGGAATGTCATAGCAGATGCACTCTCCCGTCCAACGCAACCATCTCCGACGGAATGGATGCTACATCCCTAGATCTTCAAACAGAACATCAAGGAGATAGGAGCCCCGTTGATGGACCTCTTCGCCACACGTTTCAACAATCAGCTGACAACATTCGTCTCTCCAGTACCAGATCCACGAACGTGGGCAATGGACGCTCTCAGCATATCCTGGGAAGGACTAAACGCGTACGCGTTTCCACCGCCAGCGCTACCAACGAGGGTGTTGCAGAAAATCAGCCGGACCAGGAACCTCAAACTGATTTTGGTCGCGCCCTACTGGCCAGCGAGAATATGGTTCCCCATTCTCATACAAGAACTAGGACCACCACAGCTGCAACTACCAGAGTGGTCGAATCTACTCGTACATCCTCACACAAAGCAGGCGCACGGCAACCAAGGGACATTCCAACTACACGTGTGGACTGTATCAAGGCGTGCTTGAACAAGAGAGGGTACTCCGCCAGAGCAGCGAAAGCAGTGACACTAGCTTTACGCAAGTCTACACGCAACTTGTACGACGACAAGTGGCGAAGCTTCGAGACATATGCTGCCAGAAACGGGTTTTCAGCTAGAAAAGCATCACACCCTCAAGTGGCGGACTACCTTTGTCACCTACGGCAAACAAAACAGCTAAAAGGGTCTACGCTTTCAACATACCTAGCGGCATTGAGCTCAGTCATTACTATGAGGACAGGTGGCAAGCTAACAAAGGTACAAGACTTACTGGCCTTGTTCCGCTCTTATAAATTGGAGGACAAACAACAGAGATTCAAAGCTCCGGCGTGGGACCTCAGCGTTGTTCTCACGACATCTCACCAGTGGCGATCTACAAACCATTAGAGACGACATCCTTCGAATTTTTGACACAAAAGACGCTGTTCCTGCTATCCCTAGCAACAGCAGCCAGGATGTCGGAAATACATGCTCTAGACTACTGAGAGAACACGGTTTGATGAAAATCAAAACACAGTGCATATGGGACTACTGATGGGATTTCATCGCCAAAGAATCAACTGCCAGGTCAACCGGACAGACAATTCCACGTCCCAGCACTATCCTCCGTCCTCTCGGACCACAAGATACGCTTGACTTATCTTTGTGCCCAGTGAGAGCATTGAAAATATATTTACAACGATCCAGAACTAGGAGGCGCCAAGTTCAAGCGACTTTTTTAGGTCCCGATATCGACAGCGACACAGGCGGAGGTCTCACGCTCACGATATCAATCTGGATCAGAACTGTCATTCTCACGGGCCTACAAGGCAGCAGGACTGGATCCTCCAAGAGCCTCCAACCTACATGAAATTAGAGCTTTGCGTCAACACTCGCTCTACATGGGAATTGCTCGTTACACAGGCGATAATGGAGGGCTGCTTCTGGAAATCAGACATGGTGTTTGCAAACCACTACTTGAGAGATATCGCCACCGAGGGCGTCTCAGGCATTCATCATTTAGGACCACTGGTTGTCGCACAACAGTTGACAGTTCCTCAAAGACTCTGAGGACGAAGTCTCGCTCTTTTATCACATGACTTACCAAGCCTACACTCAGCAGAGTTTTGCTTAAGTCTAACTGCTGCGATCTAACGACTAGCATAAGTAATATGACCCAGTACTTGTAAGAATACTGCGTACAGGAAAGGGTCGGCTTCTCCACTTGATGCTTGCATCAAGAAATGGAATCGCAAAATCCACATATAAATGTTAACATAAGAAAGGACCAAAAGTTAACAATTGTGGTCCCCATCAAAAGGCAGCTGAAAGGACAGGGTCACAAACAGCAGCAGAGATTAGCACAGTGCCAATACTGAAGTTCCCATAGGGGGGTATATATTGACGTAAATCACTACACGAAATCCTAAAGTATTTTTTTTTCCCGCCTCCAAATCCGTAGGATGCTACAAGCAAATAAGCATGAGTCAGGATAAGGAAAAATATGTAATTTTCTGAATAAAATTGATATTTTATACTTATCCCGACTCATGAGGTAAGCCCTCCCAACCTCCCCACTTGACACTTTGGATTTCCCTGCAAATTCAAGTGTCGGGCTCATTATCAGGAGAGAGTGAAGCGTGGGAAGTCAAAGCACCACTTTTCCCGCCAAAACAGGAAACAGGGATAACTCTGGTGAGTAGTGATTTTACGTACACTTTATTGAAAGGAACTTCAATAAGGAGATACAAGTGTTCCACTAGGTTCGCAAGAGGAAGAAGACAAGCAAATAAGCATGAGTCAGGATAAGTATAAAATATCAATTTTATTCAGAAAATTACATTTTTGTCATTTGTGCACATGGTACAGCATACATATCCAGTGATCCTTTTCTATGCAAAAAAACCAAACTGACTTCATTTTGATTTCTACAATATGTAACTTTGTATGTTAGAAATTAGCATGGTAATAATGCAATAGAAAGATGAACCCATGAAGATCTGGGTAAGAATTGGTCTTCAGCAGCCCATGGTTGTTGTGAGAGGCGACTCATGGGATTGGGTGGTCAGGCTTTCTGACTTGGTTGACACATGTAATTATATCCCAATTGCGCAGATCGATGCTCAGGCTGTTGATCACTGGATTGTCTGGTCCATACTTGGTTCAGACTTATTTACAGACCGCTGCCATACAGCTGGAATATTAATGAGTGCGGCATTAAACAACAAGCAATCAATCAAAATAAAAAGATGACTAACTGTTTTCCTACACTAACACTTAGTCTCTGAATATATATTATTTTGATTGTAACAAATAAACCCATTTAAACTGAAAAGGAGCGCCAGGGAAGCCAGTGAACCTGGGTGAATTCTGACTTGCTTCATTTAGGCCTTTAGCATTGCAGGGAGGGCTAGGCTGTAGTGAAAATAATATGGTTCAGGGACTGTGAGACAGACTACTGTATCCTTAAGAGTACATTCTTGTGATTTCTGTAATGGGACACATGAATCAGCTTCTTGTATACAAAGGAATGATGGTATGGAAAGAGTCTTTTTTGGAAGGTGATAAATTCAAGAAAGGAACAAAACCTTTAGAAAGTGCTGTGGAGGTTGTCAGATGTGTTGATATGAACAAGACTTTCAACACTTGCATATTTTGCACTTGTAAAGTAAATATATAAGTAGGATTAAAGTGTGTTAGTAGGTCGATTTTATTGGTTTTCAGGAAACCTTTTCATAATATTTGAACCTGAGCAAGTCTTCCAGTTCAAATCAATATGTCTTGCATCCCAGTCTTCTGCATAACTGAACTGGCCGTTTTAACTCATTTCACTGATACCTCTGCACTTGATCATGTAAGTTAAATGCATGAAAAATAGATTTTTCAACTGGCTGTAATTTCAGTAATTTCCAAACCAATCTTTCAAATTCCCTTAACTTTCAGATTTGACATTTCCAATGGGCCAAAATTATTCCTCCTTTCAGAGGAAGATGAAAAAGTTTCAAATATGAGATGAAATCTTTCAATTTTAGCATTCTTCCTACAGTGACCCAACACAGACTTATAACTTTAGTGCTGTTCAAAGCTGTAATGAATCCTAAGTCACTTACTCATCGAAAATGAGTGGAAGGTTGCACATGAAGAATAAATCCTGAGTAGCAATGAATCAGAACGGTTAATACAGATCAGAATTGTTAATACAGATAAGGTAATTGAAACTTGAGTTAATCACTTGATTGGTTTTTCAGTTTCCAGTGCGGTATGGGCAATGGAGACAAGCAGTTTGTTGGAGAGCTAAATGACATGTGTTATGTTTCAGTGGTCAGCTGCTGTCAGTTTGACAGTGAGAAGATTGTGAGTGGGAGTGCAGACAAGGACCTCCGGATATGGAGCATGTCCAGTGGGAAATGTACACACATCCTGTCTGGACATGATGGAGAAGTTGTAAGTAATGCTGAAATTTCTTACAGAATAGTTAAAAGTCAATGGCCTACTTCCTCTCTCACCTCTTCCATCTTCCACCCGTGAAGATCCGGCTTAGAATTGATCTTCAGTAACCCATGCTTGTCGTTACAAGAGTTGACTAATGAGATTGGGTGGTCAGGGTCGCTGACTTGGTTGACACATGTCATCGCATCCCAAATGCATACGATGCTCATGATGTTGATCACTGGATTGTCTGGTCCAGACTCGATTATTTACACACCGCTGCCATATAGCTGGAATATTGCAGAGTGTGACGTTAAACAACAAACTATTCTTCCATCATCCCATTTTCTCCACCTTCTTCCTTACTCACTTTGTCATCTTTCCATCCTGCTTTCCACTTCCTCTTCTCCATCTTCCATTCTCTCCACCCTTTCCTTACTCCCTTCTCATCTTTCTATCCTGCTTCCACTTCCTCCCCTTCTCCATCTTCCATTCTCTCCACCCTTTCCTTACTCATCTTTCCATCCTGCTTCCACTTCCTCTTCTCCATCTTCCATTCTCTCCACCCTTTCCTTACTCCCTTACTCATCTTTCCATCCTGCTTCCACTTCCTCTTCTCCGTCTTCCTTTCTCTCCACCCTTTCCTTACTCATCTTTCCATCCTGCTTCCACTTCCTCTTCTCCGTCTTCAATTCTTCTCCTCCCCTTTCCTTACTCCTTCCTCATCTTTTTCATCCTGCTTCCACTTCTTCTTCTCCATCTTCCATTCTGTCCACCCTTTCTTTCATTCCTCATCTTTCCATCCTGCTTCCACTTCCTCCCCTTCTCAATCTTCCATTCTCTCCACCCTTTCCTTACTCCCTTCCTCATCTTTCCATCCTGCTTCCACTTCCTCTTCTCCGTCTTCCTTTCTCTCCACCCTTTCCTTACTCATCTTTTCCATCCTGCTTCCACTTCTTCTCCATCTTCCATTCTGTCCACCCTTTCCTGACTCATCTTTCTATCCTGCTTCCACTTCCTCTTCTCAATCTTCCATTTTCTCCACCCTTTCCTTACCCCCATTTGTCATCTTTCCATCCTGCTTCCACTTCCTCTTCTCCATCTTCCATTCTCTCCACCCTTTCCTTACTCATCTTTTCATTCTGCTTCCACTTACTCTCCCCCTCCTGTCCTCCCATTTTCTTCACTTTCATTTCTTCCTCCACATTGCTCTCACATTCTCCCCTCTCCCTTCTTCCCAATCCATTTTATTCTTCCCTACTCCTTCCTTCTGCTTCAACCAGTTCTCCTCTCCTGTCTTCCCAACCTCCATCCTTACCCCCTTCCCTCCACACTGCCTCTCCCCTTACCACCATCACTTAATTCCCCCAGATTAATGCACATGTCAGAAGTGATTGTGTGATACCCAGGGCTATCTACCTCAGCTGCTTCAAGACATCCAGGTGTCATTACCAGATAACACAGACGCCATATTTTCTCATGTTTAATATTTTTTCTGCTTGTCTCCAGACCCACTAGTTTACCAAAGCAGGCCACATGCATATGAATGCAATGGTGAGCTATTCCCAGAGATATCTCACTTGGGTGGGGGAAGAGAACTGATAGTGTCAGCTTGCTATGCGATGAATTTGCTGCAGAAAACTATCCAATAATGTGTAAGATTTATTAGAAATTTTAAAACAATTTTGACACCTACAATTTCCAAAAGTCATTCCTGTAAAAAATAATTAACTTTGTCAGTAAGAGGTTTATGATCATTCAACACATGATATGCATGTCTCTTAACACCATGACTTCCTCGTGTTCCATAAGGAGCTCTCTTGAAGGCATGGGATGATGAGGACAGATGTCTTCCATGTTGTAGTGTCAGTTGTTTGACTGAGGCCAGTCAAACAGGTCAACCTCTTTCTAATAGGTCAATCAACAAATGTATAAAGGATTACCTCTTAAAAATATGTGCAAATGGTCTTGTAGTACATTGTTAGATACTAAGGAATTGACCCCCTAAATATTTGATTACTGACCTTTAGGTATGGCAAGCACACTTCACTCACTTCTTGACTTTCTTAATTAGAACCCTACTTTGATTTACTTCTGATGTTTACTCCAGTTATCTGAGATTAAAAGTTAAAAATACACCATTTCCATTTTCTGGTACCAGAAATATATGTCGAAAATTCATTTTGTTGTTTCTCTTATTTTGGGTCTCTCAGAAATAGTAACTTATGCAATGCAAGAAAATTACCCATTTGTTTGAAGATTGTAATGTTTAGTTTTTCAGGTGTTGCAAATTAAAAAACAAAACAATTCATAACAGACACTTTACTTGATTAAGTGTACACTAACTGAACTTCTTCTTTCAGTGATATTTAAAGACAACTTCAAGAAATTCAGTATATTTAAAAAAAAACCCCATAGCTTTTTGACTTCAGTATTTCTAATTGACTGTATTTGAAAAGAGGATATTCCCCATAGGACCATATGGTTCAACACACTAATCATCTTGTCATCTCAATTGCTGAATATGAATATTAGATTATATTTTTACAATTTTGTTTTACAAATCTTGCAGTTGTGTACCGTCTGTGCTTCTTTTTAGGATCTTTTATAAACAACATGTGTTCAAATGGGCAAAAAACACATGACTTATTTTAATGTAAGGAGACATTGATTCAAGAAGATTACTTTTAAGTAAACAAAACTATGAAATTTTCCAAACTCAACGCATTTTTGTAAATTTGTTATTTTTGAACCCATCTCATGTTACAATTTTCCCCCACTAATTGGCCATTGTGTGAAAAACCTACCCAACCTATCTCTGAAATAGACCTCATATTTCATCCTCATTAGGGTAGCGTCTATTTCTAATTGACAGCTGTTGTCTCCGACTGGGTTGTATATCAAGCAGACATGTGATCCAGGATACCTGATTAAACTGATAATCACCACTGATATGTACGCACAAGGAAGATATTGTGTATGGGTTCATAACCAGGTAGTCAGGTTCATCATGGAATGGTAATACATTATTACTGCAGGGATTATTCTTACTGAGAAGAATGTGAGACGAAATATGTTGTGGCAGAAAAAATGTTTTCAAAATCAGAGTAATCTTTTTAAATAGCTTTTTTCATCATGCATTTGAGCTCACATGAATGAAAATGTCTAATAACCATTACATACAAATTGAGTTCAATATTAAAGCATATGTATAGCTAAAAGTAGATCTTAATTTATATGTTCTGCTTTTTGTGATATTTTGATTTATGACCAATGTTTTATACTTTGGTCCTCAAGTCTCTTAACTTAGGTTCCTTATGCTGCAAGCATAATCTCCTCTTGACCATAGACTGCTGAAGCTGAAACTTAAAGACTTGTCCCCTTGTGATGGGATTTCAATCCCAGATTCACCCGGATGATGATGATGATGATGTTTGTGTGCTATCATCAGATCTGTTTCACCAAAGTTGTACTAAATTGCTTTTGACCAGGGTTTGATTCCCCATGGGTGTGTGAATCCAACCATATACTACCTCCTATCCTTGCAACATACCTTTCTGTGATGCCTAAGGGTGTTATTGGAACCAGGGGTTGATTACACCCCTGAGTGCTGAGGATGGTTTCAGATACAGTATTGCTGTATCTATTTCCTGCCTCCCACACTGCAGCGCGCTGAAGGATGGACAACTTTCAAAACATGTACTGAATCAATCTCTTCCAGCTGTTTCAGCCTTTATGTGTTCATTCAGCATAAAACTATCTTCGTGTAACTTACAGTTGTGTTTCTTTACCTAGTAGTGATGTTTTGTATATCCTTTAGAAATATATTTGCATTCTTCTGAAATTATTTTCATTATTTTTCAAAATAGAAAAAAAATGTTTCATTTGATGCTAAAGAAAGTAAAATCCAACTCACCAGATAAGCGTTAGTTATTATCTTGGGTAAAATGAGTTTTCACTTTTTATCACAGTTAAAAATATTATTTATATCTGTTTCTGAAAGTTTCCAGTAACACACTAAAGATTGTTATCCTCCTGTCTCATCAGCAACTGATACTGTGATCACAATGAAGAGTGCTTTTAAAAGCATGTCATTTTTAGGGGAGGTGGGGTAGCCTAGTAGTTAATGCGTTGGCTTGTCATGCCGAAGACCCGGGTTCGAATCCCCACATGGGTACAATGTGTGAAGCCCATTTCTGGTGTCCCCTGCCATGATGTTGCTGGAATGTTGCTAAAAGCAGTGTAAAACCAAACTCAGTCAGTCATTTTTAATGAAAGAAAGCGGGTTCCTCATTAGGCTGAAGCCCAGTAATTATTTTCCAAGTACAGTGTGTACATTGAGACCAAAACTGCCAGGTCCCTGGTGCTAACCCACTGAGATACCATATATACCCCATTCAGATGCAGTATACCGACTCCAACTGGGAAACAGCAAGTTCCTTCTTTTAACATCTTGACGCATTCGGAGGTTTAAACTACCAGCCATCCCCTATTTGGATAGGCACTATCCAACAGACAAACAAGGCAGTAGGTGACTTAAGAATGACTATCTACAATGTTATACATTAGAATTGATCCCCAGCAACTCATACACTGTATAACAGTCTCTCCATTGGTCAGGTGACAGGTCAAGTGACTGGTCATGTGACAGATCAGGTGACATGTCAGGTGATTTGGTTGTGTCTCTAGCCTTGACAGCATGATCTCCTAATCCAGATTGGCTTATTTACAGGCTGACATCGGATAGATGAAAGGGCAGTATGGAGTACAACATTAAACAACAAACATACATTTGAAATGTATCAAAACAACTATTGTTATCACAGAACCTATATAATTTAGAATTTAATCTTGCTGGTTAATTTCAACTCTTTAAAGTATGACGTTCACAGACTGAATACACCTTGATTTAGAATACATGGTTCCTGGTGAATCTATACAATATTCATATTTTCTTGCTTTATGTGTTTCTGTCAGTCAACACTATACTGACTCAACTCTCAATGGTTCCTTCA